TATCTCCTAGACCATTCAACCGATTTGAATGTTTTCGGTGTTGTTTGAAAGAGCATTTTATGCTCTTTTTAAAGATATTTTCAGTAAGACCGTCTGCTTTAAAACAAATGAGCTAGAGGACGTTATCTGCAGCGATTACATATTTTTGTGATTTTTGAAGAAAAGTTAAATGGAACGATACTATTTACTTCACAGACCCTTAGTCACCTTAAAATTTGCTAAATTTTAGTGAAAACCGCATCTCGATATCGCCACCCGTTCTCGAGTTATAGAAGAAAATGTTAAAAACTCGAGTGCCATCAATCGGATCCAGTTACCTCATCGAGAAAAACAAATCACATAACCATGGTAACTGTAAACATGTCATTTACTAACGCAGAAGCGTATGATAGAGCGTATGATGATTTATTTTCAATGTTTCGAATACGATGCAACTGCATGGCAAAAATGTGCAATGCAATTACGACAAAGAAAGACATTTTTCTCTAGAAGTGTTTTTAAGATTGACTTAGCGATTACGGAAAACTGGCAACGTGTAGCCCATTCAGACATCTCTATGAATTCGTAAATCACATTGGTGCGCAATGTGATCCCACATAATCTGGGAACTCCGAAAACAATTGTCCACAAGAGTTCTCAAGAGAATAATATCTCCACCACGTTGTTTTACATCAGGCCTTAACAGATACCGATTATGATAACAGACTGAACTATTACCATTGACTTTTAAATATGATTTGGGCAAATCCAAACCTTTTATCACAAATGCTATGGATGCATGAAGCATCTGTCCACAAGCTGATGTAAACTTGCATAATATGCATTCTTGGTTCGAGCAAAACCCACATTGCTTTCACCCCTTTATCTATTGGGTAGACTAAACGACCTGACTTTTCAAGAAAAACCAATAACCAGGGAAAATATGACAAAACACTAAATACCAGTAAAAACGTGTCCAGGGCCGAGACTTAAGCAGCGCTTTTTTTTCGTCGAAACTAGATTAAATAAATGCATCGAGGTTTATGGAAGGCATTTCGCACATTAGTGAGTTATTTTTGCCAAAAATTTAAGTTATTCTAAGTGTTTTGGTTTATTTTGTTTTATTATCATTGTTGATGTTTCATTGATCCGTTGGCTTTTCAACACGCCTCAAAAGTAGTTTTGAAGCAGTTCTAAGCTTGGATAAAGTGTGAAGGAAGGTTCTAGATAATAAAATTTTTGTTCTCTCTTATTTGTTTCCTAAGGTAACTTGATCCGATTAAGATATACGAATTTTTAACATTTTCTTTTATAATTCGAGAATGGATGGAGATATCGAGATGCGGTTTTCACTAATATTTAGCAAATTTTATGGTGATTAACGGTCTGTCAAGTAAATAGTACCGTTCCATTTAACTTTTTTTCAAAAATCACAAAAATATGTAACCGCTGCAGATAACGCCCTCTAGTTTTTTTGTTTTAAACCAAGCGGTCTTACTGAAAATATCTTTTAAAAGAGCATGAAATGCTCTTTCAAACAAGACCAAAAATATTCAAATCGGTTGAATGGTCCAGGAGATATTAAAATGTAAACATTTCAAAACGCATTGGCCTCCCCCTCCCTTATTATGACAGATATGAAAAATATTGCAAAACAAAAGCGATGCGGTATTATCCAAGCTACTAAATGATGTTGTCAAAGTTATTGCTCATCGTCTAACTTTCTGAGATAGCGGGAATTTTGTGTTTCTCTATGGCAGTTACGCCCCCTAGCGGTCGAATTACGAACTTCAAAATAATTTCCAGATATTTTTCTTGCCCACTTTGCTTATAAAGATTTTTTTCCCAAACCTCTAGGCCTTATCGTTGTTGAGATACAGCCGCTCCGTAAGCTTAACGGAACACCCTGTACATCCCAAAATCGTAATTCTACTTTGGCCAACGCATTAATAAACTTATCGATGACTCTGGATATAACTATTGAACAAAAATACCTCGAAAAAGGCCATACCCAGATGGAGGCCGATTCGATGCATTCAACGATTGCGGTACACAGACATCAATGTACCAGCCGATTATGTTAACATTTGTTTGAAAGCTCGAGAAAAACAACCTTGTAAAGTTTTTTATTTGAATTATACTTTTTTCAAGGATTTTCACATGTTAAATTATTTGAAATCTATACGTCCAGGAAAGCGGGCTGATACGAGCTTACAAAGAGACTATCATTACTTTTATAATAACCTTCCATTTGTTAAATAAGACCATTGCATTGTCTTATAATAATTTCCATATATATTTCAAAATATAACTATAAATATAACTAAATAAATATTTTTTGTTTGTATCTGTATCTGTTTATTCTAAAAAATTGTAATTTTGCAATAATTTGGTAAATAAATACCTTAACTGAACTTTTTAAGGTTCCACTATTCGTAGTGGTTTGAAATTTTGGTAGTATCATTCGGAACTTTCGATCTAAAATATTTTCAAGATGGCCGTTATTTTAAATGGAATGCTGTAGTTTTTATTACACCTTTCAATTATACGTAAAAAAATATGTTGACTTTGATAAAAGTTGTTTTTACCTAGCGTTTTTTGTTTTCGAGTTATTTTGATTTTAAGTGTTTTTTGACAAATTTCACCATTGTCTTTAAAAGCCTATATCTCAGCTAACGATCATTCAAAGAAGCTCTGCATTGGCATGACTACTCTACAGATGCTGCTAAATAGATTGTCATTTGTTGTATCAGAGAATCTTATACAGAGTGGTCAAAAATTGAATTACCGTTTCTCCATATTCAATGGCTAAAAAGTCGAAAATTTTAAATGGAATGCCCCGTATTTTTTTACCCTATCAGAAAGGGAATTTAATTCTCTACAAATTATCTATAAGCATTCCTATACCTATTTATTGTAGTTTCCCTGATATTGGGAAATTAATCAAAGCGTGCACGGAATGCGGGAAAACGTTTGATTTTTTTATTAGAAGGCCATGGAATTTTGACAGTTTTTGGTCCATATTTGTGTTATTGTTGTTGTTACTTACTTTTGATCACGAATGAAAGTCATTGTATATCATGGCAAATTATTCCAACGCCGATATTTTAAATTTGTTTTATATTCGTGGCGAATGTAATAAATTTTTGGATAGGACGTGTCGAACATTTAATGAGAGATATCCAAACCTAACGCCTATCATAAAAAAAAGTTTCGAAAAATTGAAAAGGGTTTTCTTAGTTCTACAAACATCGAAACAACAAGAAACCGTAAATTCCCTATCACCAGTGATGAAGAGGGCCACAACCGTAGAAGTCGAAAGAAGACTTGAAAAATGTTTAATGGTGCATATCGAACAGTTTTAATTTTTTTATAATTTTAAGTTTTTGTTTTTTTATATGTTATTCATTCTAATTTCTGTTATTAAATTGTTGTTTTTCATTGTTTCATTTATTCGTTTTTCTGTTGGTTATTTTTGGTAAATAAAAGCGAGCAAGCTAAAGGTTATTCAACCATAGTTAATTGTAGAAATAATACCAATAATAATTTAAATAAATTAAACGATGAACTGTCAAAATGTCTTGGCCTGCTAACAAAAACATAAACGGGCTTTGGGATTCTATGTCTGATTTTGATTAATTTTCCAATATCAGGGAAACTACAATAAATAGGTATAGGAATGTTTATAGATAATTTGTAGAGAATTAAATTCCCTTTCTGATAGGGTAAAAAAATACGGGGCATTCCATTTAAAATTTTCGACTTTTTAGCCATTGAATATGGAGAAACGGTAATTCAATTTTTGACCACCCTGTATAAGATACTCTGATACAAGAAATGACAACCTATTTGACAACATCTGAAGAGTAATCGTGCCAATTTAGAGGTTTCTTTAATGAACGTTAACTGAGATATGGGCTTTTAAAGAGCATGGTGAAATTTGCCAAAAAAAGCTTAAAACCAAAATAACTCGAAAACGAAAAACGCTAGGTACCAATAACTTTTATCAAAGTCAACCTATTTTTTTACGTACAATTAAATGGTGTAATAAAAACTATAGCATTCCATTTAAAATAGCGAAGTTATGGTCTACTTCCGGTAGACCAAAAGTGGCGGCCATCTTGAAAATATTTTAGATCGAAAGTTTCGAATGATACTATCAAAATTTCAAATCTCTACGAATAGTGGAACCTGAAAAAGTTCTAACGAACCAGTTACGTGAGACACCCTGTATATAGAGATGTATATTAAAGGTGATTTAACCATGATGCTAATAGATATTAACCGACAAAAACCCGGATTAAGATATTTGAAGGAACGTTCTTTCTGATTGTGAACACAGTTTTTTAAAATTCGGTTTGATAATAATTGCACAAGGGGTTGAAGTTTGGTAATATTAAGCTATTTTACGTACAGAACGGTGTTCTTCATCTTTTATTGACCTTAATATCAACATATCGGCTAACGCGGACGATTTAATTAAGCTTTCAAATGGTGCATTTAGTTTTCCGCTATCTCCAATAATAAGAAAGATATCAGCTAATAAAATAGATAGGAAATTACGGGTAAAAGTTTGTTGTTGGAAGGTTTGTTGCTGTCGTCACACGGGTTATTTATTAATTTTTATTTTGTAACCATGTCTTTTTTAATAACTATTTTAATTTAAGTAAACTATTAAATAAGCTACTATACTTATTTATCATTTATATTTACAACATAAAAATATTTCAGTCGTTTGACAGATCAATTGATACACAATCTATTAACACACATTTCGTAGAAACAATTCTATCTAACGACAGGTAATTGCCGTTATGCATTGATAGCCTAAGAAATAAGGTTTTCATCCGAAAATATGTTGTAATCTCAATAAGTTTAGTGAAAATAACTTTTTATTTTGTGCGTGGGTATAAATTAAACAATTTCAGGTTAGAATTTAATACGAAAATGCATATTTAACATTGCTTTTAACTTCCAAAAAGAAACGTCAAATCGCAACTTTAAAGTGATTTTTCTGTAAGTACTACACTTTTCCGCACTTTTTTTTTTATCATTAACGCCTCTTTTGACTCATTTCTTATCGATTAAAAAAAAATCATCGATTTTTAAAAGAGACTCCTAATCTTGATATATGGCTCAATTTTTAATGAATTAATTTAATTAATTAAAACTCACCCTGGTTTGATTGTGTAATGAGGTGGTCCAGGAAAAGTTGGATCTTTGTAACAAGTCGCTAGATCATCTTGCATATTTTTAATAATAGGTTTTTTCGGGACTCGATCCGCTTTAAAAAACTTTCCCGTTCGACTCTTCGAGGGGTGATTTAATAAATACGAAAGCCCCATCCCCGATTGCCAATCGTAAATCTTATCGGGGCTGCAATTTATCGCCGGGGCGAAATGGTTCTTAATACTCGTACTATCGCGCTGTCCCGAAAATAAACAATAAGGTAGCTTCTTTTTCGAGACTTGTTTGAGCCGGTTCTCCATCGAATTGGGGTCGTTTATGCGATAGCGATTCGGGGGTTGTCGGAAGCTGAAATTTAATCCGCGGAAACGGTCTCGGAATCCGTCCCATTCGAACGAAGGGATTGTGATGAACGATTTTTTGGTGATCGTCGAGGTTTTTGAGAAATCTCGAAAATAAGTTGCGGGCGGGGGGTTGTTGTTTTGAATGAGCGAGCGGAAACGCGGTTGGTCCCCGAACGATTTGTTTTCTAAAGCGGATGATGGCTGCTTTTTGAATATTTCTTCGGGGATTTCGTAAGTTCCCGGGCCTCCCATCGATTTCATGAATGTGCGGTATTCTAAAACCTTTGCGTTACGAAATCCGAGGTTTTTCGAAAACTCTTCCGAGTTTACCATTCTTTCCCACCTAAAAACAATAAGAATAATTAAATAAATAATTTTTATTAATGAAGTTTTTCGAAATAACGCAATTTTAATTTCCCTCTGAACAGTATGGTACTTAATAAATTATAACAATTCATTACAAAATGTTTCGAATAATATTTGTTTAAAATAACATTTTAAATCGTTTATTCTAATAAAAAAATTTGATATCTCCACCAGGTGGCGCTACACATTGATATAAAAGCGATATTTTGAGGTTATCTTAATAATTATCGACCGCATCCAAATTTTTTATGAACAATATTTGTTTATAATTGAATTACAAATAATTTTCATTAATAACATTTTTCAAAATAACGCAATTTTAATTTCCCTGTGAATAGTACGATGCGCTACATATCAAGACAGTTTAAGCCATTTCAAAAGAAAGTATTGGTTTTATCGAAAAATGTTTCCTACAATGTTTGTTTAAAATACAATTCTAAATCGATTATTTTAATAAAAAAATTTGATACCTCCACCAGGTGGCGCTACACATCGATATAAAAGCGATATTTTTAAGTTATCTTAATAATTATCGATCGTATTCAAATTTTTTATCAACAATATTNTTTCCTACAATATTTGTTTAAAATACAATTCTAAATCGTTTATTTTAATAAAAAAATTTGATATCTCCACCAGGTGGCGCTACACATCGATATAAAAGCGATATTTTTAAGTTATCTTAATAATTATCGATCGTATTCAAATTTTTTATCAACAATATTTGTTTAGCATTGAATTACAAATAATTTTCATTAATAACATTTTTCAAAATAACGCAATTTTAATTTCCCTCTGAATAGTACGATGCGCTACATATCAAGGCAGTTTAAACCATTTTAAAGCAAGGTATTGGTTTTATCGAAAAATGTTTCCTACAATATTTGTTTAGAATACAATTCTAAATCGATTATTTTAATAAAAGAATTTGATATCTCCACCAGGTGGCGCTACACATTGATATAAAAGCGATATTTTGAGGTTATCTTAATAATTATCGATCGTGTCCAAATTTTGTATGAACAATATTTGTTTATAATTGAATTACAAACCATTTTTGTTAATAACATTTTTCAAAATAACGCAATTTTAATTTCCCTCTGAACAGTATGGTGCGCTACATATCAATGAAGTTTAAGCCATTTCAAAGGAAAGTATTGGTTTTAACAAAAAATGTTTCCTACAATATTTGTTTAAAATACAATTTTAAATCGATTATTTTAATAAAAAAATTTGATACCTCCACCAGGTGGCGCTACACTTTGATATAAAAGCGATATTTCGAGGTTATCTTAATAATCGTCGATCGTATTCAAATTTTTTATAAACAATATTTATTTAAAATTGAATTATAAACAATTTTTGTTAATAACATTTTTCAAAATAACGCAATTTTAATTTCCCTCTGAACAGTATGGTGCGCTACATATCAAGGCAGTTTAAGCCATTTTAAAGAAAAGTATTGATTTTATCGAAAAATATTTCCTACAATATTTGTTTAAAATACAATTCTAAATCGATTATTTTAATAAAAAAATTTGATATTTCCACCAGGTGGCGCTACACATTGATATAAAAGCGATATTTTGAGGTTATCTTAATAATTGTCGATCGTGTCAAAATTTTTTATGAACAATATTTATTTATAATTGAATTAGAAACAATTTTTATTAATAACATTTTTCAAAATAACTCAATTTTAATTTCCCTGTGAATAGTACGATGCGCTACATATTAAAGAAATTTAAGCGATTTCAAAGGAAAGTATTGGTTTTATCGAAAAATGTTTCCTACAATATTTGTTTAAAATACAGTTCTAAATCGATTATTTTAATAAAAGAATTTGATATCTTCACCAGGTGGCGCTACACATCGAAATAAAAACGATATTTTCAAGTTATCTTAGTAATTATCGATCGTTTCAAAATTTTTTATAAACAATATTTGTTTAGAATTGAATTACGAACAATTTTTGTTAATAACATTTTTCAAAATAACGCAATTTTAACTTCTCTGTGAATAGTACTGTGCGCTAGATATCAAGGCAGTTTAAGCCATTTTAAAGAAAAGTATTGATTTTATCGAAAAATGTTTCCTACAATATTTGTTTAAAATACAATTCTAAACCGATTATTTTAATAAAAAAATTTGATATTTCCACCAGGTGGCGCTACACATTGATATAAAAGCGATATTTTGAGGTTATCTTCATAATTATCGATCGTGTCAAAATTTTTTATGAACAATATTTGTTTATAATTGAATTACAAATAATTTTTGTTAATAACATTTTTCAAAATAACGCAATTTTAATTTCCCTCTGAACAGTATGGTGCGCTACATATCAAGAAAATTTAAGCCATTTCAAAGGAAAGTATTGGTTTTATCGAAAAATGTCTCCTACAATATATGTTTAAAATACAATTCTAAATCGATTATTTTACTAAAAAAATTTGATATTTCCACCAGGTGGCGCTACACATTGATATAAAAGCGATATTTTGAGGTTATCTTAATAATTATCGATCGTATCCAAATTTTTTATAAACAATATTTGTTTAGAATTGAATTACAAACAATTTTTATTAATAACATTTTTCAAAATAACGCAATTTTAATTTCCCTGTGAATAGTACGGTGCGCTACATATCAAGGCAGTTTAAGCCATTTTAAAGAAAAGTATTAATTTTATCGAAAAATGTTTCCTACAATATTTATTTAAAATACAATTCTAAACCGATTATTTTAACAAAAAAATTTGATATCTCCACCAGGTGGCGCTACACATTGATATAAAAGCGATATTTTGAGGTTATCTTGATAATTATCGATCGTGTCAAAATTTTTTATGAACAATATTTGTTTATAATTGAATTACAAACAATTTTTATTAATAACATTTTTCAAAATAACGCAATTTTAATTTCCCTGTGAATAGTACGATGCGCTATATATCAAGGCAGTTTAAACCATTTTAAAGAAAAGTATTGACTTTATCAAAAAATGTTTCCTACAATATTTGTTTAAAATACAATTCTAAATCGATTACTTTAATAAAAAAAATTTGATATCTCCACCAGGTGGCGCTACACATTGATATAAAAGCGATATTTTGAGGTTATCTTAATAATTATCGATTGTGTCAAAATTTTTTATGAACAATATTTGTTTATAATTGAATTACAAACAATTTTTATTAATAACATTTCTCAAAATAACGCAATTTTAATTTCCCTGTGAATAGTACGATGCACTACATATCAAGGCAGTTTAAGCTATTTCAAAGAAAAGTATTGGTTTTATCAAAAAATGTTTCGTATAATATTTGTTTAAAATTTAATTTTAAATCGTTTATTTTAATTAAAAAATTAGATATCTCCACCAGGTGGCGCTACACATTGATATAAAAGCGATATTTTGAGGTTATCTTGATAATTGTCGATCGTGTCAAAATTTTTTATGAACAATATTTGTTTATAATTGAATTACAAACAATTTTTATTAATAACATTTTTCAAAATAATGCAATTTTAATTTCCCTCTGAATAGTACGATGCGCTACATATCAAGACAGTTTAAACCATTTTAAAGAAAAGTATTGATTTTATCGAAAAATGTTTCCTACAATATTTGTTTAAAATACAATTCTAAATCGATTATTTTAATAAAAAAATTTGATATCTCCACCAGGTGGCGCTATATATTAAAATAAAAGCGATATTTTGAGGTTATCTTAATAATTATCGATCGTGTCAAAATTTTTTATCAACAATATTTGTTTAGATTTGAATTACAATCAATTTTTATTAATAACTTCTTTCAAAATAACACAATTTTAATTTCCCTGTGAATAGTACGATGCGCTACATGTCAAGACAGTTTAAGCCATTTCAAAGAAAAGTATTGATTTTATCGAAAAATGTTTCCTACAATATTTGTTTAAAATAGAATTCTAAATCGATTATTTTAATAAAAAATTTGATATCTCCACCAGGTGGTGCTACACATTGATATAAAAGCGATATTTTGAGGTTATCTTAATAATTATCGATCGTGTCAAAATTTTTTATGAACAATATTTGTTTAGAATTGAATTCCAAACAATTTTTATTAATAACATTTTTCAAAATAACTCAATTTTAATTTCCCTGTGAATAGTACGATGCGCTACATATCAAAGAAATTTAAGCGATTTCAAAGGAAAGTATTGGTTTTATCAAAAAATGTTTCCTACAATATATGTTTAAAATACAATTCTAAATCGATTATTTTAATAAAAGAATTTGGTATCTCCACCAGGTGGCGCTACACATCGATATGAAAGCGATATTATCAAGTTATCTTAATAATTATCGATCGTATCAAAATTTTTTATAAACAATATTTGTTTAGAATTGAATTACAAACAATTTTTATTAATAACATTTTTCAAAAAAAAGCAATTTTAATTTCCCTGTGAATAGTACGATGCGCTACATATCAAAGAAATTTAAGCGATTTCAAAGGAAAGTATTGTTTTTATCGAAAAACGTTTCCTACAATATTTGTTTAAAATACAATTTTAAATCGATTATTTTAATAAAAAAATTTGATATCTCCACCAGGTGGCGCCACAGATTGATATAAAAGCGATATTTTGAGGTTATCTCAATAATTATCGATCGTATCCAAATTTTTTATAAACAATATTTCTTTAGAATTGAATTACAAACAATTTTTATTAACAACATTTTTCAAAATAACGCAATTTTAATTTCCCTCTGAACAGTATGACACATATCTTTGCAAATTCGTCGCAATTTAGGGCAAATTGATGTTTTTATCGAAAAATGCTTTAGCAAAAATTGTTTGAGAGTTGTAAAAGAATTGAATAGGTCGTTAGAGACTAGATGCTGCTAATAGAAGGGCAGAAAGTAGAAAACTGGATATTGTTATTGTTTGCAAAATACTAGATGCTTCTGGTGAAGGTCTAGATACTACTAACGGATGTCTAATAGCTCCTGGCAGCTAAATATTGCCAACAGAAAACTTTTTACTACTCGCAGAAGACTAAGCACTGCCAATAAGATTAAATAATACTGTTAGAAGACTACTTACTGCTTGGAAAAAACAAATATTGCTAGGCAGAAGACTATTTAATGCTACCACAATTTTAATAACTAATTTTCTTAAAAAATAATTAAATCCTCTTACATTTTTCCCGTTTTATAAGCACACTCCTTCGTTTTAACCGGATTATAATCGCACGGAGCCAATTTTTGTTTATAAGCACTTAAAGAACCGGTCGGATCTAAACCCGGATGAAATCCAATGGCAGCAAACCGTTTCGTTTGCACCCCAAACGGAGCCCTCGTTAAAAACGGCCTCGACTTCGTCTTTCCAGATTTAGCTAAAACACTTTTCCCGTTCATCTTGTTATTTTCGATTTTTCCTCTTTTTTTCAGTCGATAGAATTCTTCGAAATCAACTCCAACAACACTCGGTGCCCCTTAATCGTAAGCGGTGAAGGAATCGAACCCGAAATAACGATAAAACCCGACTTTTTAATCTGCAGATTAACGGCGAACAAAGAATACGTCGATTTCACTTTTGAGGTGAGTTATTAGATAATTTTTTTATTTATTTCAAAAGGTGTGTCATTGTCGTTGTCATTTTGTGGGTTAAGATTTAAATAAATTTCTTCTTAAAGATATCGATATCATCTCGGGCCGATTTAAATTTAACTTTCGAAGAGTTATTCGAGCTCCAAGGGGAAATCAAAGAAGCCCCGAAAGTTGAATCGCCGAAAACGCAGAAAGATAAAGGTGGTAAAAAGGGGAAAAAAGATAAAAGTAGTAAAAGCAAGTCGAGTAAGTCGAGTAAGAAAGGGAAGAAAACAAAACCGCCTCCGAAAACATCCCCCGAGTTAAATGACGATGAAAAATATTCGATTGAGAATTTTTTTACCAAACGAAATACTTGGAGTAAAAAGTTTTTTGAAGTTTTGGGTGGAAATCGAATGGAGATTCCATCGAATTCGAGCAAAAAGGTTTCGATTCGGTTCGGAACGACTCCACCTCCTGTGGTAGATGATGGAGAAGGTAAGAAAGGTAAAAAGGGGAAGAAAGATAAATCGAGTAAATCTTCGAAAGGGTCGAAAAAAAGTAAAGATAAAAAGAAAAGTGTTGATCCGACGGTTTATTTGGGGAAATTTAACATTTTAATAGGAAACGCGACTTTTTTTAAGGATATTATTGCTTTTGGGAGGTTCGAATAAGAATTTTATTTAATAAAAACCATTTTTATTAAGTTTTTTTATTAATTTTAAAAGTGAGGTTAAGATAATTTTTTGACAATTTATTCTTGACATTTCACTTTGACATTTTATTTATTATTAAATTATTGTTGTGAAAAATTTTCAACTTTAGATTGATTAAAAATTAATTAAGAGCGATTTCAATTTAATATTTCGATACTTTTTAATCAAATTTATTCATAAATAAATACTATAATTAAAATATTTCATTTTTAATCGCCATCTATTATTTGTTGATGAAAATAGAAATTAATTTTAATTATTTCAAATACAAATAGCGTTTCACAACGAACAACAGACTTATAATTATTAAAGTAACCATTATTACTATTATTATTATAGTAGTAATAATGAATTAGAAATTAATCATTTAATTTTAAATTGATGCGTACAGCGCCATCTATCATCGTTTCGCCAAAACAATCGTTACAAGAAAAGATTAATTTATTTTTAATTATTAAATCAATTACTTTATTTATTTATTTCTTAATTATTTTAATTAAATAATTGATTTACCGATTTTAATTAATAAATCAATAAGTAAAAAGTTTCAATTAAATTTTAATTTGACGTTTTATAACGCCATCTATTAGTAATTAAAGCAACTATTTGCGTCTTTATCAAGTGTCATTTTTTGTTATAACTTATTTTGCGTGAAATAAAACTAAAACTAGAAATTTTGAGGTTATGCCGTGCGTCTATGACGCACGGCATAACCCTAAAATTTCTACTTTTAGTTTTATTTCTTATTCCATCGACAGTAACGGTTGTGAAAAGTGTCACTTAAAAAAGTGAGGTTAGGTTACGTTGAAAAAGTACTTCGAAGACGTCGCCGAGTTTACTTTTTATGGCTGTTTCAAGCGAAATCGCTTCTTATGAGTCGCTAATATGAAAAAAAAATCGTTGAGGACGCACTGAGTGAGTAAAATAAACTTTTTTTTATGAAACGTCAAAAAATGACACTTGGAAAAGTGAGGTTGCAACGAACAGATAAACAAAAATAACACTTCCTAGCACAGTTTTAAACTAACACGGCCGTTTTCGAAGACATCGGCCGCCCCCGAGAACCCGAAAGGTTCATTCTCACAATTACGAGTAAAAATCCAACTCAAGGTTTTCAATGTTATATCTTCAGGGGCGGCCGATGTCTTCGAAAACGGTCGTATTAGTTTAAAGTTGTGCTAGAAAATGATGTTGAGGATTTTTAATCAATGCTTTTTGGAGATTCGAATAAGAATTTCATGTAATAAAAACTATTTTTATTAATTTTTTTAATACATACATTTATTTCGCCGTGTTATAAATAAAATCGTTCTAATCGGAATTACGTTTTTTAACGATTAAGAACCTCTAAGATGTTGGGTTAAATCCAAATATCGTGATGAATTTGTAAAATTAAAAGTGAGGTTAAGATAATTTTTTGACAATTTATTGTTGACATTTCACCAGCAGGATGACCAACTTTAAAACTAAATTTGGGTTAAATTGTTTATTATTAAATTAATTAAAAGCGACTTCAATTTAATATTTCGATACTTTTTAATCAAATTTATTCATAAATAAATAATATAATTAAAACATTTCATTTTTAATCGCCATCTATTATTTGTTAATGAAAATAGAAATTAATTTTAATTATTTCAAATACAAACAGCGTTTCACAACGAACAACAGACTTATAATTATTAAAGTAACAGTTGCCATTATTACTATTATTGCCATTATAATGAATTAGAAATTAATTTTAATTTTAAATTAATGCGTACAGCGCCATCTATCATCGTTTCGCCAAAACAATCGTTACCGTTAAAGGTTAATTTATTTTTAATTATTAAATCAATTACTTTATTTATTTATATCTTAATTATTTTAATTAAATAAGTGATTTACGGATTTTAATTAATAAATCAATAAGTAAAAAGTTTCAATAAGATTTAAATTTGACGCCTTATAACGCCATCTATTAGTAATTAAAGCAACTGTTTGCGTCTTTATTAAGTGTCATTTTTTGACGTTTCATTAAAAGAAATGTAATTAACTGATTTTGCGTTAGAAATAAAACTAAAACTAGAAAGTTTAGGGTTATGCCGTGCGTCTAAGACGCACGGCATTCTAGTTTCAGTTTTATTTCTTATTCCATCAGCAGTACCGGTTGTAAAGTTTTACTTGAAAAGTGAGGTTAGGTTGGGTTGAAAAAGTACTTCGAAGACGTCGGCCGAGTTTAATGTAAAAGAAAATCTTTGAGGACGCACTAAGTGAGTAAAATAAACTTTTTGACGTTAAAAATAAAACTAAATTAGATATTTTGAGGTTATGCCGTGCGTCGTATTAGGCAGCGAATAACAATGCCGATTACAGGAAACTGTAAAATATGTTCCTCTATAAACAAAGATTATACTAATCACCTTCTGAAAAAAGGCGTAAATTAAAGTTAATTTTAATTAAAATTGTTATTAAAAACACTTATTGAAGAGATTTTAATGGAAATTCACCTATAGATATCAGGAATGCTGGAAAATCTATTAAAACCGAGGTTCATCAAGATTTTTGTTAACTGCTATATCTATTAATGGGAAGAAAAGGATTTATGAAGGTAAGAAATAAACACTCATTTTCAATTAAATAATTAATTAAAAAAATATATAAAAATTAAAATCGAAGATTTTGAGGTAATTTTTTTATATTTAGTGATTTATCATTTTTAATTAAATTTAAGTTGGTTGCATTGACAAATGACGTTCAATGTCATTTATGAAATCAGCTGATATTAATTTATTTTTTAATAATTCTTAAATTTATTTGATTTTATTGAATAGAAAAGGCGTGTATTGAAGAGATTTTAATGGAAATTAACCTGAAGATTCCGTGGATGATTTTTAACTCCGATAACCATTAATCAGGAGAAAAGCGTTCTTGTTTCGGAATAATACGGAAAATGCGAAATAAAAGGATTTATCAAGGTAAGAAATAAACACTCGTTTTTAATTAAATAATTTGTTAAAAATTAAAATCTTTTAGTTTTTAGTTTGAGTGATTTTTGATTAAATTTAAGTTGGTTGCATTGACAAATGAAGTTCAATGTCATTTAATGTCATCATTGCTTTATTAATTCTTACATTTATTTGATTTTGTTGAATAGAAAAGGCGTTTATTGATGAGATGTGAATGGAAATTAACCTATGGATGCTGAAAAGTCAATTAAAACCAAAGTTCATCAAGATTTTTTTTTAACTCCAATAACAATTAATCAGAAGAAATATACTATTGTTTATATCTAATTAGAAATAAAAGGATATATCAAGGTAAGAAATAAACATACATTCACAATTAATTAAAGTGCTATTTAGTTTTATTAAATTGTTGTATTCATTAAATTGAAGTTATGGCGGTGTACCTCAATATAACTAGATTAATAGACAACATTTCTATTTTTAGGGATTTTATTAAGATTGGAAATTAAAATATTTCAAAGAAATTCTTTACATACATTATTTCTTGAGCTTCACTTGAACCTTCGAAATGGTAGTAATTATGATGGTAGTATTAATGTTGATGCTCGTTTTTAAGAACAATAAATTTTATTTAAAATATACAGTGTTTCTCTTATACATATATCATTCAATGCAACACCCTTATCACAATTTTATAGTTTTTTATATATATTTAACGGTATAGTTTTTTCATTAGTCGAGTTTCGAACCAACCTCAATTTCAAATTAATTCCGATTAGTTCGGTAATTGAACGATAGATGGCGGTTTTTATCCAAATTACTGATGGTTCGAAACTCGACTAAGAAAAAATTATACCGGGTGATTCAAAAAAACATTTGATTTTCCGAAAATTTTATATCAATTACAATCTTTATTTGAATCACCCGGTATAATTTTTTCATTAGTCGAGTTTCGAACCAACCTCAATTTCAAAATAATTCCGATTAGTTCGGTAATTGAACGATAGATGGCGATTTTTACCTAAATTACTGATGGTTCGAAACTCGGCTAAGAAAAAACTATACCGGGTGATTCAAAAAAACATTTGATTTTCCGAAAATTTTATTTCAAGTACAATTTTTATTTGAATCACCCGGTATAGTTTTTTCATTAGTCGAGTTTCGAACCAATCGCAATTTCAAATTAATTCAGATTAGTTCGGTAATTGAACGATAGATGGCGATTTTTACCTAAATTATTGATGGTTCGAAACTCGGCTAAGAAAAAACTATACCGAGTGATTCAAAAAAACATTTGATTCTCCGGAAATTTTATTTCAATCACAATCTTTATTTGAATCACCCGGTATAGTTTTTTCATTAGTCGAGTTTCGAACCAATCGCAATTTCAAAATAATACCGATTAGTTCGGTAATTGAACGATAGATGGCGCAATTATTTAAATCACTGATGGTTCGAAACTCGGCTAAGAAAAAATTATACCGGGTGATTCAAAAAAACATTTGATTCTCCGGAAATTTTATTTCAATTACAATCTTTATTTGAATCACCCGGTATAGTTTTTTTATTAGTCGAGTTTCGAACCAATCGCAATTTCAAATTAATTCCGATTAGTTCGGTAATTGAACGATAGATGGCGCTTTTCATCTAAATTTCGGAGGGTTCGAAACTCGGCTAAGAAAAAATTATACCGGGTGATTCAAAAAAACATTTGATTCTCCAGAAATTTTATTTCAATCACAATCTTTATTTGAATCACCCGGTATAGTTTTTTCATTAGTCGAGTTTCGAACCAATCGCAATTTCAAATTAATTCCAATTAGTTCGGTAATTTAACGATAGATGGCGCTTTTCATCTAAATTTCGGAGGGTTCGAAACTCGGCTAAGAAAAGAATTATACCGTGTGATTCAAAAAAACATTTAACTTTCCGAAAATTTTATTTCAAGTACAATCTTTATTTGAATCACCCGGTATAGTTTTTTCATTAGTCGAGTTTCGAACCAATCGCAATTTCAAAATAATTCCGATTAGTTCGGTAATTGAACGATAGATGGCGATATTAATTAAATTTGTTGGTTCGAATCTTTACTAAGTGAAAATTTGTGCAGGGCGATTCAAAAATTTTAATTATTTTAAATTAAAACACCAACAAACTTGTATTTCTTTTTTTATTTATTTTTTATAGTCAAAATATAATAATTACAAGTTTATTTTTGTATAATGATATGCATGCATAAATTTGGACACAAGAACGAAAAGTAACCCATTTCTTTAGAGGAAATAATCCTAATGATGATTTACCAACATATTTTACAGTTTCCTGTAATCGCAAATGTCAAAACAGTAAATACAAAACCCTTGTTTACATATGTTACTAATATTTGTTAAAAAACAAAATTTAACAATAATTTAAATATGTAATAAAAATAATGAATTAGATAAATGTCAAAATTCATCGAAATAAAATTAGATGGCGCTAAAATGAACTTGTCAAAATATGATTATTTAAATAATTCGTTTGTAAAAAAGATAAGAACATTTTTTGGGACATAGAATAAAAATAATAACAATAGGGGTATTGAAATTGTTATAAATACACTCCCTTCCTTTATAAACAAGTCAAATTCGACTTTACTTAACTTAATGAAATCATGTTGATCCTAAAAGATAAGTTTTTGGTAGCTATTACTATATTCTTACAAGATAAACACAATTTAATCAATAAAATCATTGTTGTTAACATTTTAACTCATTCTCAAAAAAATTATTAACAAGTTTCTTATTGTTTTCTGATAATTTACTGAATTCTTCTAAAACCCGGTGGTTTTTGACGTTCAATGGAACGCTCTTAAACAAACTCAAAATCCTGGCTTCTTTTAAACTTGCATGTTCGATCCCTTCAAATTCAATCCTACTTAAATTATCTTAAAAGAAAAAATTAATAAATAAATAAAAATTAATTAAAAACATCATCTTACTTAATATCTCGGGTAATAACAAAGAAAGAACAATTTCAACTTCGTTTATTCTCCGCAACAGCAAAATTCTAATTGATTTAAACATCTCCATACCAATTTTAGGACCAATCAATGATTTACAAGCTTTTCGAACCACCTCAAAGAAAATTCCCTCAATCGAATCGATATTTTCGCATAAAAATTTGAAAATTTCCACCCCGTTTTCTTGTAGGTTATTATTAATGTAGTATTTCGCCGTGTTATTAACAAAACCGTTCAAATCTTGCTGATTGTGTTTTTTCCAAGCTTTGAGGTTATTCTCGTAGAATTGTTTTAATGCTTTCAATAAAAATTGCGATTTTTCGTGCGGAACGTAATTTCTATTCACCAAACAAACTGTGAAAGTTAAAAAATAAAATATATCGATTTAAATCGAATTAACTCACCGTTTAAATAAGTTAAGGCTTGCTCGACCAATTTTTTGTTGTAATCGTTACCGGAGAATGCAAAAAATAAATAACAAAGCGTTAAATTTTCATCGAAACATTTCGAATCGATCATACTCCTATTATTTTGTTTCGAAAATGGAAAGCTTTCGAAGATTAAGTTTACGATTTCTTTGGAAGTTTTTAAAAATATCTCGTTTTGCTACAAAATTTTTTTTTAAGTTATGGGAAACATTCAAGTATCATCATGTGGCTTAAAAATCGATGATAACTAAGTTGAGGTTTAAAATGTAACAACAATTTTGACATATTTGTAATCTTCATTAAAAATCCTTTAAAATGAGTACAAACACGACATATTTATCTTCAATATTAATGAAGTTATGGTCAACTTCCAGTTAGAAATGTCAATGTCATATAATCTCAAAATTTGTAGTTTTAGTTTTATTTCTAACGCAAAATCACTTAAATTTCTTTTAATGAAACGTCAAAAAATGACACTTGATAAAGGCGTAAATAGTTGCTTTAATTACTAATAGATGGCGTTATAAAACGTCAAATTTGAATCTTATTGAAGCTTTTTACTTATTGATTTATTAATTAAAACCAGTAAATCAGTTATTTAATTCAAATAATTAAGAAATAAATAAATAAAGTAATTAAATTAATAATTAAAAATAAATTTAAAAAACGATTGTTTTGGCGGAACGATGATAGATGGCGCTGCACACATCAATTTAAAATTAATTGATTAATTTGTAATTCATTATTATTACTTTAATAATAATTATAAGTCTGTTGTTCGTTGTGAAACACTATTTGTGTTGAAAATAATCAAAATTAATTTTTTTAATGAAACGTCAAAGAAATGTCATTTGAAAAAGTGAGGTTAGGTTGTGTTGGAAAAGTGTGATTAAAAATCCTCAACATCATTTTCTAGCACTGTTTCGAAGGCCGTTTTCGAAGACATCGGCCGCCCCCGGCCATTAAAACATTGAGTTGGATCCTTACTCGCATTTGTGAGAATGAAACTTCGTGTTTTCGGGGGCGGCCGATGTCTTCGAAAACGGCCGTGTTAGCTTAAAACTGTGTTGGGAGGAAATGTGTTATTTTTGTTTATCTATCTTAAGTTCGTCCCAACCTCACTTTTCCAATTAAATCAAACCTCACTTTACCAAGTGACATTTTGACGTTTTATTAAAAAAAAATTATTTTACTCACTCAGTGCGTCCTCGAAGATTTTCTTTCATATTAGTGATTTATAATAAGCGATCTCGCTTGAAACAGCCACAAAAAGTAAACTCACAAGATACGAAATATCCATTCAACCCAACCTAACCTCACTTTTTCAAGTAACATTTTTCACAACCGTTACTGCCGATGGAATAAGAAATAAAACTAAAACTAGAAATTTTAGGTTTAAAAATTTCTAGTTTTAGTTTTATTTCTAACACAAAATTAGTTAAATAAAAGTTTTTTTAGTGAAACGTCAAAAAAGTCGCTTAAAAAAGACGCGTAGGAAGTAGCGCCATCTGTACGCTTATAAAGTACGTTACATTGTCGGTAAAGTAGAAAGCTATTTCATTTATTATTTATTTTAATTATTATTAAAATTGATTTTAGAGAGAGAGAAAATATCTTTATTAAGCTATCGACCCTTTTCGGGTCTTTCCGCTTAAATTGATTTTATTTATTTATAGTTACGTTTTTATTTATAAATAATCCTTAAATAAAGATTAATTTATTGATTAAATAAAATTGCGATCTTACGCCAACAAATTCACACCGACGAAAACGTGAAAAAAATAAAAGTTACTAAAAATAATCGAACGTAACCAAACAAAACTAAATAGGTATAACTAAAACGAAATAAAAATGAATAGAAATAAATAAAACGAACAAAAAGATGTTAATCTGAACCAGGTCTGTGATAAAACAAAAATGCATCATATAAAACCGATTTGAGTCTATATTTTTGATTCTAAACGCCGTAAAATGTACGTAGAAACGTCAAAAAAATGTCATTTGAAAACGTGGGGTTAGGTCGTGTTGGAAAAGTGTGATTAAAAATCCTCAACATCATTTTCTAGCACCCAACATTAAACTAACACGGCCGTTTTCGAAGACATCGGCCGCCCCCGGCCATAAAAACATTGAAAATCTTGAGTTGGATCTTTACTGGCATTTGTGAGAATGAACATTTCGTGCTTTCGGGGGCGGCCGATATCTTCGAAAACGGCCGTGTTATTTGTGTTTATCTATTTGTTCATCCCAACCTCACTTTTCCAAATGACATTTTTGAAGTTTCATTTAAAAAAAAAATTATTTTACTCACTCAGTGCGGCCTTGAAGATTTTCTTTCATATTAGCGATTAATAAGAAGCAATATCGCTTGAAACAGAAACAAAAAGTAAACTCGGCCGAAGTCTTCGAAGTATTTTTTCAACCCAACCTATTTCTAACGCAAAATCAGTTAAATACATTTCGTTTAATGAAACGTCAAAAAATGACATTTGATAAAGACGCAAATAGTTGCTTTAATTACTAATAGATGGCGTTATAAAACGTCAAATTTAAATCTTATTAAAACTTTTTACTTATTGATTTATTAATTAAAATCGGTAAATCAATTATTTAATTAAAATAATTAAGAAATAAATAAAGTAATTGATTTACTAATTAAAAATAAATTAATCTTTTTTTTGTAACGATTGTTTTGGCGAAACGATGATAGATGGCGCTGTACGCATCAATTTAAAATTAAATGATTAATTTCTAATTCATTATTATTACTATAATAATAATAGAAATAATGGCAACCGTTACTTTAATAATTATAAGTCTGTTGTTCGTTGTGAAACGCTATTTGTATTGGAAATAATTAAAATTAATTTCTATTTTCATCAACAAATAATAGATGGCGATTAAAAATGAAATGTTTTAATTATAATATTGCTTATTTATGAATAAATTTGATTAGAAAATATCGAAATATTAAATTGAAGTCGCTTTTAATTAATTTAATAATAAATAATTTAACCTAAATTTAGTTTTAAAGTTGGTCATCCTGCTGGTGAAATGTCAACAATAAATTGTCAAAAAATTATCTTAACCTCACTTTTAATTTTACAAATTCATCGCGATATTTGGATTTAACTCAACATCGTAGACCGTTTTCGAAGATATCGACCGCACCTGGAGCTAAAACATTGAAAACTTTGAGTTGAATCTTTACTCGCAATTGTGAGAAAAAACATTTCGGATTCTCGGGGGCGGCCGATGTCTTCGAAAACGGCCGTGTTAGTTTAAAACTATGCTGGGAAATGTGTTATTTTTGTTTATCTACTTGTTCGTTCCAACCTCACTTTTCCAAGCGACATTTTTTGACGTTTCATTAAAAAAAATTATTTTACTCACTTAGTGCGTCCTCGAAAATTTTCTTTCATATTAGCGATTAATAAGAAGCGATCTCGCTTGAAACAGCCACAAAAAGTAAACTCGGTGGACGTTTTCGAAGTAGTTTTTCAACCCAACCTCACTTTTTCAAGTGACATTTTTCACAACCCTTACTACCGATGGAATAAAATATAAAACTAAAACTAGAAATGGGTTATGCCGTAACGGCATAACCTCAAAATTTCTAGTTTTAGTTTTATTTCTAACGCAAAATCGGTTAAATACATTTTTTTAATGAAACGTCAAAAAATGACACTTGATAAAGACGAAGAGGAGATAGCGCCATCTGGCGCAAAAAGTCTAATTTCTAGTTTTAGTTTTATTTCTAACGCAAAATTATCGACCCCCTGTATTTATATGATTTATAAATGCATACAAAATCATTAATGACACCTGTTAATACACGATTTTCTATTAATAAACGATTTTAATGTGTCAAAAGTCAAAATTTATTATTGTAGTCTTACCGAATAGATATAGTGGTCGGTATTACAGATTTCATTCGAGAATATTTACTAAATTGACTACTATATTAGTTCGGTCGGACTTTCTTAAAGTTTGCCAGTGACAAAATTATAGAATTGGTTGATTTTTCAACGATGGATTTTCTCTATTTTGTTGAAAAACCAGTCAACGAAAAAATATTGTAACTAACTCGTATATTAAAATGCGATTCACTTCCCCTTAATGTCACTTTAAGACGCATAGGAGATAGCGCCATCTATCGAAAAAACCCTTAAAATATACGTCACGTCGAATCTTTAAAGTAATTTTTTGATAAAATTTATTTTTTTATATGTAACGACTTACTTGAGTGATTTCCCGTCGATTAAAAAACCAAATTATCGATTTTTAAGCAACACGATAATTCCTGAATTATTTGAGGTTATGTCATGTGTCAAAAAATTAACCTACAATTTTAATCTCTTGATTTTCTTGAGTTTTAATCACCATCAACTCATAAAAGGAACTAATTATACTCAAAATGCAATGCAAAATGTTTAAAACCTCGTTATTAATCACAGTACAAAATAATTGCGCTAAAAAAAATCAATTTTTATTAATAATTTTAATTAATTTTTAAATTTTAAGTACCTGATTGAATGGAATGCTTATTACTAGGTTGAACTTCCAACCAAATCCCTTTTAATAACACCAAAACATCCTTAACACAATCATCCAACCAAACATCAACATTGATATCATCACGATAAATATCAATTTCTTCCTTTTTATAATAAATCGGAGCACTAATTCTTTGCCTTTCCACTTTAATAATATTAATTGGTACTATATCGATTACATTTTCTTGTTTCTTCCTGGTTAAAATCACCCCTAAAAACTCGTTAAATCTTGTTAAAACCATTAAACGCCATTCAACACTTGTTCGTTTATTTTTAATCGTAGTTTGCAACATTGATTTATCATTCGCGTTAATTTTAATTTTCGAAATTAATAAAACAAAATTTTGGATGATTTTATCACATCTTGTTGCTAATAATCCAGGAATCGATTGGATTAAAACATCGAACAGTCGTAAAGAGTCTTCTTGGACGTTTTCGTTAAGATGAGTCATCATGCAACATAAATATGATACAATTCTGTTTATGTGGGGCTCAATTCCAACACTTTTAACCAATTTAATTAAATGATGCGTTAAAGTTATAGCTTCTCGGCGTAATTTTTGATCGATGTCTACATATAACGGACAAAGTAATTCGCATATTTGTAAAACGTACTTATCCAAAACGTTATTTTGTACTATATAGATGAATTCTTTTAATTGTTGTAAACT